TATTAGATATGCATGGATGTCGATATGCCAGAACGCCCTTCACAACCCGGTTTTGAGTCTGTCAGTTATTAAAAACTGAAATATTTGCATAATTATCATATTATTATGTATTATATAGCAAGCAAGCAAGCAGCCAATCAACCTCAACTCCTGAAACTACCGTACAGCAACTTAAAAAAAAGGCCCATAAATAAATAAATACACAAATTTCTTTTTGCCAAATATATAAAATTATATTTTTATAGGTCATGGGAAGGGTACGCTACTCTACCAGTATTTCGAATGATACTTTATGACGCTTGGCCTCTTTTTCATGGCGGGTAGAGTACAGTCTAGTCGGCAAAAGCAAAGCGAACGATCAAAACTAACGGCACCTACACGATATTCTATATGATATACTATTTTACAGTATCATACCGGTATCATACCAACTCCCCACCCCCCCAAGAACCTAAAACTCCATAACCAAGAGTTGTGGGGAAATGGTAATCGTACCTCCTCTACCAAATCATATAATTAACCCCCCACCCCTCATCTCTCCGTACACACACATCCACCAATCACCGCATAATAATCTCCGGGTCGGAAAACGCCTGCCGAGTGATGCAACGTGAGGTGGATTTACGGGATGAGTTCCGTGACGCGGTTCCGGGTCCGCGCGGATGGCGTCCGCAATGATGGCGACGGTGGGAGAGAGAGGGGAGGGGGGGGGGGGGGCACGACGGGCGAGTAGTGTTTTAGTGTCGGCGTTTGAGGATGTGCCTGGTGGTGGATTGTCTTGTGCTTATGGGCTGATGTTGGTTTATGTGCACTTTTGTGGGTAATGAGATTTGTATTTCTATTTGTGTTTGTGTTTGTGTGTGTGGAGGGGGTTGAAAGGGGGAATTGGTTGGTCGGTTGGGGTTGGATGAAAGGTTTGAATGTGGGAGTGCGAGTGTAATATCGTGTAGAGCTCATTAACGTAATGATGATAATGGTGGTAATGAAGGGAAGAAATGACCCAGAAAAAAGAAAAAAAAAGGAAAAATGTATATATATTTACTGAATTCAAGGGCTAATGATGTATCCGGGATAAAAGGGAAGGGGGAAAGGTGCAGTAAGGTGGAACTAACAAAGGGAAAAGGAAGGTAAAGAGAGTTCCGCTGATCCAAACACCCTTATTCGCTGATTATACTAGACGGAGCCTAATAATAATCCGCACATTCCCCTGTTCTACCGGTACGCCAGCGGAAGTAGAGGAAGATACAGTAGGGAAATGCGTGGTAAGGATAAAGAAAAAGAAAAAGAAAAAAACAGCTGAAACACCCCGAAAGACGCCCTCCCATCCATCCACCCTGCTCAAACACAGAACCCGCAACCGCTCCATCCACCCATACCGGAAATCTGATGCAAGCAAAAGGAAAAACGCTTAAAGAGAGCAAAAAGTCTAAACGTCCTAGATAAGCTCGACAGGCGGCCTAGCGGTATGTAGCGGGAGCGGAGCCGCCGGCGAAACAGGACTCGTCTCGTCGCCGGAATCGGTATAATCATCGACGGATATGGCAGGCATCTTCTTCTCGCCATTCCCGGCCTCCTCCGGCTCAAACAGGACGACGGAGCTGGCGGACCTGGGGCGGCGAGTAGGGGACGCCCCGCCCGTTTCCATGCTAGTAGCACCATCCGCTCCACTGTCTCTACCACCACCCTTTCCAGCCTTCACCCAATCGAGCCGCGCTAGCGCCTGCGCCAAGTCCTCTGCGACGACGACGGCATTCGGCGGCCCCTCGTTGCGCAGCTCCCAGCCGTGCGGTGGCGAGGGTGGGGGCGAGATGAAGAAGAGCTTCTTCGACTCCGGCGCCTGCAGGTGTTGGTCCACCGGCTGCACGGGTGTGTGCTCGCCAAAGTAGACGCGTGCGCGGTCACCCATGATTGCCTCGCCATCCAGCACCTGGCGTACGCTGATGGCATCCTCCTGCGTGGCGAAAGAGCACACGATCCGCCGGAAGGACTTTAGCGGGGACCAGGAGACCAGTGTTGCCGAGGATTCGATCACGCCGCGGAGTTGCTGCAGGTGGCTCGGGTCGAAGATTGAGGGGTTATTGAGGTTCTGTTGAACACGTTAGATTTTGGTGGGGATCGGATGGGGATTGGACGGGGGGAGATTACGGTTATCAGGAGTGTATTGGTGGGTGTTGCTGGTTGGGTGAGTGGTGGTAAGGAGGAGAGGTCGAGAGTTAGGCGCGAGCCAGGGGATGACGCTCTGGATCTGTTTGGTGTGGATAGGGGGGGCACGGCGGGGGAGAGCTTCGGGGACTCCATTTTTTGAATCGGTCTTTGGCCTCTTATCCGACGGAGGTGCGAGGTGAGATGTCGCGGTCGTGAAGATTGAAGAATGGGGTTACCGAGGAGGTGGGAAGAGCTAGTTAGTTAGGTAGTTGTGATGTAGATGGCACTGTCTGTGCAGAATGAAGACTAGCGTACAATCGTAGGGTGCTTGTTTTTTTTCTGCTCCTCTTGGGTTGGCGGTGCTGGTGAATAGCGACGGATTGCCAGCAGCGAGGGATAGACCTTTATAAGATGCGGTTGGTGGCGGACGGAGGAGCAGAGATACAAGTACGGGTGAACCCTTTGCGTTCCACGCTAAACTGCCTTCCGTAATCCCCAAGCCCTTGCAGTGCTGTGGGGGGGGGGGTGGGGTTTGTTCTCGCCCGGTCACTCGGTCACTATCTCCGCAAAAAATGCAGGACGGAGGGAATCTCACACACACACCCGGACCCATTCTCTTCACTCACTGGTATGATCCAGTACGACCGTAGCGCAAGCACCATACCGGGTAGCTAGAGTCCGGAAAGGAGCAGTGCCCCTCTCCCCTCCCACACAATAAGAGGGATTGGTCATGCAGTCAATGGTGGCGATCGCTGGATCCGGAGGCGCAGCAAATGCACTCACAAAGAAAAAAGGCAAAAAAAAAAAAGCCCCCCCCGTCCCGCCGAATGAAGGGGGGTGTTTTCTGGAAGCTCGGAGTGTGTTCGCCGTTGCAGTGCCCGCCAGCATCTCGATTCCTGCGGACAATTGGACGACAAGCTTACCTGCCGGCAAGGAGGCGAGCGACGGACGGACAGCGGCCTTCCTCCGCCCAACAGTTTTGGCGGAAAATTGATGACCTGAACGATATGCGAGGTTCCCCTATCACGATCGGGTGTTTGAGAGTGGAAAAAAATAAGGTGAAAATTGACAACAAAGTGTTTTACATTTTTTCGCCACCCGCCGGGCTCTCTCGGTTATCTTCTTCTCTGGGGGGCGATTTTTCTTTCTTCTCCCTCCACTTCTCGCTTTCTTTATTGTGCTAGTACTCGTACCGCTCATATACAGGTACCGACCAGTGCTGCTGCTCCGCTCAGTACTCGTATGAGGTGCGTGGGGACTGGATCAAAGTTTATCACTGCCCCGTTCGTCCCGTTTTGGTCGGCTGGATGGGTCATTTCGGTGTAAGGGGATTCCGCTGGCAAACTACGGTACTCTTAGAGTACTGTACAGTACCGTACTACTGCTATCATATGGTCTCACAAGTACGGTACGCAGCACATTCCAGATCTGTTCAGCGTCGTTCTACTAGCACAGCGTCCAACCGGCTCCACCAACTAGTGACCGCGCCCCCTCTTGCTGTTATGAAACCGGTGCTTGTGCCGTATTTGTTATGCGGCGGTACCGTGTCCATCGCTGGTTACTTGAGCCCCTCTCCGCCCTAAAGTGTTCCCTCCGGAAAGACATTCTCGCGTTCAGATGACGGTGCCTGTGGGGACGGGCAAATTCCCCGACCCCTGATACGGCGCCCAGTGCCGAGCGTTGGTCATGTAGATGTATGATCCTTTTGGAACGCATGCTCTTCATGCATAGCTCTTGTAAGCTCTGGTGACATTCTCATAGGACTAGCAGTGCATTTCCCGACAAAATCCTGAACCCGCACTTGAGCAGAAGGTGCAGTACTTGTATTTGCGTTATGGCTGCTATATCGGTGATTGCCTTGGGCGTGTGGAAATACGACACCTTGGGCTACCGGCAGCGCTCTAGCACCGGACACGTCGCGAGGTTCGATCTGGGCATCAGGCGGAGTCCCGGCTTTCCATGCTGGTATGCAGTGCCGGTGTGCCTGGCCTCTCCGGCTCCCGGAGAGGCTCACATCAAGGTAAACAGATACCCGACTGGGACGGCAAATGCTGAGTCTGTGGGTCTAAAAACTCTGCCCGACACCGTGATATCTCACACGGTGTGTAGGCACAGCGTTGAAATTTTGTGGGTGAGTACTGGTACTGTACTCAGTACTGTGCCGGTGATCGCCGTACCGCGCGGCATTGGGGCCATGCGCCGTTGATTTGGGGACTCCCGGCTGTGGTGTCGCTGTGGCTGAATGGTGAGGCTCCCCAATAACCTTTAGCTCGTGAGTCCGAAGCTGCGCCACACGCTCTCTACGCGTCGCGCTCCTCGGCCGGGAGAGTGACAGGTGACGGTCCTATCAAATGAACAAACAACGCCCTCCTCCGCAGCAAAAGCCCCTTTCCCTCTCTCCCACCCACATTTCGGGGCTCCCTGTTCTCCTGTTCTCCTCTTCTCCGCCTTCCTAGCCTTCTCGATAAAGCAAATCTATCAGAATAAGAAGCTCAGCCTGAATCATTGACAACGATGCTCCTCGTGGATAAGCACCGTCCCCGGAAGCTTGAGGCCTTACATGTTAGTCCGTTTTATATTCGTGTTCCGTCTGTAAGAGTCCGGCTGACGAATGGGATCTTCACATTTTAGTATCATGAAGGACTCTCCGCTAGGCTCAAGGCTCTGGTATGCACCCCAGATTATGCCCGACCGGAGTGACGTGGTTTGTATGTGGGATGGAACTAACAATTCATTCTTTGCGATAGGCCAATAGTGGTGATTTCCCGCATTTGCTTGTGTACGGACCTTCTGGAGCCGGTAAGAAGACTCGGATCGTTGCTACGTTGAGAGAGCTATATGGTCCTGGGGTTGAGAAGGTATTCTGATCCGCTGTTCGAGGGAGGGCTGTGCAAGGTGCAGAAGTTGCTAAGGGGTTTGGATAGATTAAAATTGACTCTCGTGTCTTTATGACAACCACCAACCGTAAGATTGAATTCAATATCGTCGCATCCGTCTACCACATTGAAATCACTCCATCCGACGTTGGCAACTCTGATCGGGTCATCATCCAGTCGCTCCTCAAAGAAATTGGTCAGACGCAACAGGTGGATATCGCTGCGAAGCAGAAATTCAAGGTTGTGGTCATCAATGAGGCCGACCACCTTACTAGGGATGCCCAGGCTGCGTTGAGAAGGACAATGGAGAAATATTCGCCAAATCTGAGGTTGATATTGATTGCCAACTCTACTGCCAATATCATTGCCCCGATCAAGAGCAGGACATTACTGATCCGAGTTGCGGCGCCCACAATTGGCGAGATGGTTGGTGTGCTGAGGCATGTGGCCGAGTTGGAGAGGTTTGAGTTCAGTAACAAGTTGGCTGGGAGGGTTGCAGAGGAGAGTGGGAGGAACCTGAGAAGGGCGCTATTGATGTTTGAAGCACTTTACGCACAGAAGTGAGTTTTTGTGTGAACGCGTTACCTTGTTTTTGCACTCCCATTTAGCGCGCCCCTGACCTTTCCGAAAATGCAGTGAGGTTGTTAAAGACAACACACCAATCCCTCCTCCGGATTACGAGACTTTGGTCGGCCAAATCGCGGACGAATTGCTTGCGGATCACTCTCCAGCTCGGTATGTCTAGGTCGATTTATGGAGCAATGGGGGCTTTCTAATATAATGCTATATAGTATCCTCCTTGTACGCGCAAAATTCTACGACCTGCTTACCCATTGTATCCCCGCCACGGTTATCCTCAAGTTGTTGACCTTCCGCCTGGTTGTGAAAATTGATGATGTTCTCAAAGCGGACGTGATCAAGTGGGCTGCCTTCTACGAGCACAGAATTCACCTTGGAAGCAAAGTGATCTTTCACCTGGAAGCGTTCGTGGCGAAGTTCTTGAGGATCTTGGAGGGCTATTTGATGGGGATGGAGTTCTAGAGGGTATAATTTGCATGGATAATGGCCAAAAGTTTAGGGATGAAGATGGTGTTTGCTTGCTTGATGCTTTTCATGAACAATGGCTTGTACGATAGTGGAATTTACAGCTGGTCTATGCCATCCGTTGTGAATAGGTTGTGGAAACATGCATGCGAATTCTACAAAGCCTGATGGCGAGTATTGGATTTCAGATGTGATAATTGATGACCCAACTCCGATAATCATCAATCAGGTCCCGATTGACATTGATATCATCCAATCACCACCTACCTACCTTCATAACACCGTTAAATTGATATAAAGAACCCTTCCACCTCAACCCCCCCAGTTTAACAAACGTCAAAGACCTTCCTTATAATCCCATTCCATTCCGATCGGACAAGCAATCATGTCCCACACCAGAACCCACCCTAGTACCCACGGCCGATGAGTCAACCGCGTATGCCATGCTCTCTCCTTGCCCTCACCAATTCGTCTATCGCGTATCAGGTTGATTTGCGACCTCCCGAGCACGAAAAGACGCCGGATAGATACACCCACAAGAGTGGCGGTGCATCCACCGGGGGGGGGGGGGGGAGGCGAAGGGCTTTAGGCGGTAGGTTCAATTGGGCCTCCCTCCCTCTTAGCGATATGTGTGGTGACTGGCTACGTGTCGTAGGCATTGGGGCAGGGGAAAAGGGAGGGGGAGGGGTGATGTTGTGGATTGATGCTTGTGGGGCGGTGTTGTGTAGTTTGTTATAGATAATATCGGCTTGTTAGGATTTGTGATTATGTACAGTATGAGGAGCTCATGGCTTCAAAGGCTTGAGCAGCTTCCTTTTATGTTCGGGCAGCGTATCAATCCACGCCCGCTTCTTAGGCGGCAACTTGACATTCCTATCTTCCAACTCTTTCAGAAACTCCGGCGTGACTGGGGTCTTACCCATCATTGGCGGGTCTCCCTTTTTGACAAATTCATATCTACCTACTCCCTCCACATCAGTCCCTTGTCCTGCCCCCCGCACTGAAGGAAGGGAAAAACCCACCAGGCATCTTATCCCCCGCCAACCTAAACGCCTCTTTGACAATTTGCTCGTGCACCTCCCCCTTTAGCTCAAAAACCACACGACTAACGGGAACCCTAGTCGCCCAGAACCTATGCGTGCCCTTCCCCGTCCCCATGCGCACCTCGTTGCCCTTCTGGAACACGGCGATGTTACATGAGACCCGCTTGTACAGCTTGTACTTCATTCCGCGTAGTTTGGTCTTTATCGCTGTTTCTGCGTTTTTTAGGTGCATCGCGGACAATCGTTGGTGGAAGTCGGACAGCCGCATGCCGTAGTCGCCCCAGGCTATTGTGGTCCCGCGGGTGGAGCCGCCGGTGTGGACGCGCGGGTTGCCCTTGAAGCGGAGTTTTGGGTCGGTGCGGGGGCCTGGTCATGGATGTTAGAGGGGTTGGGCGGGGTGGCGGGGGATATTATACGGAGCCAGTCTTGGGTGGTGGAGGTTGTGGAAAAGAGTCTTGGGAGGGGAACTGCGGTGTGGTTGGTCAGTTGCGGGTGTGGGTGGTGGGAGTAGAGGGGGGAAGAAGGGGTTACTTGACCGCACCTCTGTGCGGAACAGGGATGCGATTGACGGTAAGAACGATTGCATCTTCGTCGGTAGGTGCTGGTAACGTTGATCAGTTGGTGGGGGGGGGGGAGAGTTTGATATTGAGGTCCGGTTTTGCACAGATAGAGGTATGATAGATGGAGATTTACCAATCCTTCTAGTTGGCTGACTCAGCTGAGGGTTATAAACATTACACCGAATCATTTCTGATATTTTAACTACCCCACCTCCGTGTGAAATCTCCAAGTAAGGAACAGTCAGCATGCGGCTGCTTCTCTCCCCCAGAAACCTCCCGACAACCTCCGGCACATTTGGAGGTTTTTCGGGAGTGATAAGTGTAAGAGGAATCACCCAATCCCATTCCCAACGGCGCAAATATTCAACAAGTTCGTTCGTTCCCCAATCCACATTCACTACCTGCGTGAATCCAACCGTGACTAACAAATACATCCACAACAACCACAGAAGAACCACCATCGCCACCAACAATTCAACTAGAAGGAAGGCACTACCCAACTGACGAATGGACAAACCTCCCCTCGCACATCTCCTCCGCGCTCTCGCGAAAACTCCACCTCCAACCCTCCCACCCACTCTCGATAACCAGGCGCCTCATCGAGTCTCGCTTCCCCGGCCCGACATACCAATACCACAACAACCTCTCCCCTATAGTCTCCGTGCACCAGAACTTCGACTCCCTCGGTTTCCCTATCGACCACCCGGGCAGGAGTCGCACGGACACATACTACGTCAACAAAGACACCGTCCTCCGCACGCACACTTCCGCGCACCAGGCCGACACATTCCGCTCGGGAACCTCAGACGGATTTCTTATCTCAGCAGACGTGTACAGGCGGGACGCGATTGATCGCAGCCACTACCCGGTTTTCCACCAGATGGAAGGAGCAAGGATGTGGTCGCGGGATGGGTGCAAAGCGAGGGGGGGAGTCGCGGCTGTGATCATGGAGGATATTGAGAGCATGCCGAAGCATGGGATTAATGTTGAGGATCCGAACCCCCCGTTCCATGAGAAGAGGAATCCACTGCAGGTGGAGCATACGCCCGAGGAGGCGCAGGCCGTTGGCGCGCATTTGAAGCTTTGTCTGGAGCATGTTGTTGCGGAGGTGTTTGGCCTGGCGAGGGCGGGAGCGGTAGCGGCCGGCGGTGCAGGTGCGGAGGGGGCGAGCGAAGAGCCGTTGAGGGTGAGGTGGGTGGAGGCGTATTTCCCATTCACAAGCCCTTCTTGGGAACTCGAGGTGTATTGGCAGGGGAATTGGTTGGAATTGTTAGGGTGTGGTGTCGTTCAACAGAGCCTACCAAAAAATGCTGGTTTGTTAATCATTTCTCCCCTCCCTAACCATTCCGCTACCACCCCCTCCTAATTTGCCCCTCTCTTTCTCTCTCTAGGTGTCCCCGACAAGATCGGCTGGGCCTTCGGCGTCGGCCTCGAACGGGTCGCTATGCTCCTATTCGGAATCCCGGACATCCGCCTCTTCTGGTCCTGCGACAAGCGTTTCCTGGGGCAATTCAAAAAAGGGGAGATTTCTAGATTCGTTCCATTCTCAAAATTCCCACCCTGCTACAAAGACATCGCCTTCTGGCTGCCCAGATCCGGCAGTTCTGTTGGAGGCCAGGTATCGTTCCATGAGAATGACATGATGGAGATTGTCAGAAATGTTGCGGGAGATCTTGCGGAGGATGTGAAATTGGTATTTGACGAGAAGAGAAAAACTCTCCCCTATAATTCAGTTCTTGGGGATATATTAACATAACAGGATAGATTGACGAATTCACGCATCCAAAGACCGGGCGAAAGTCACTGTGCTTCCGGATCAATTACAGATCACTCGAAAGGACTCTCAGGAATGATGAAGCCAATTCCCTTCAACAAATGGTTAAAAGAGTCTTGGTTGAAGAATTCGGGGCCGAAGTACGGGAAAAGAGTGAAAAGTAGTGGTATACCTTTTTGCTTTCTCTTCTTCTACTTCTAGAAATACATACGCCGTACTTCCCGGCCCGACCGCGGTGACGACAAACATGACTTTTTGTGTAGAAGATGCTGGAGGAGAGGAGATGCTATGTACAGTGGAGTGTGTATAAAAAAGGTTACACCGAAGCGGCAAAAACGGGAAATGAAAAGGAAAAAGCTGAACACCACGTCCCACAGTATCACACTATCATATTCACACAAAGGCTAGGAAATGGGTTCTTCCTTTCCCCCCCTCGTTTTCGGAAAAAGGCTGTCATTAGTTTATAAGCCCCATCTCACCCAACCAGTGCCAATGATCAAATTTCCGTAAAATACGCTTTATTTTGCGGCGGCGGCGACTATTCCTACTTTTGCAGCCTATTACGGGACATTGTTAGCATAACCATCCCCAAGATTCCCAAAAAAAGACATAAATAAATGAATAAAAACACACCCTAATAGTCCTCCCATTAAGTGCGAACCCAATCTGCTGCACATCAAACACAGTGCCGGGCTCCTTATCCCTCATGGGGACCTGGAACACGGCCTCATGCTTATTCGGATCGAACGCCTCGCCCATGGGGTCAACCTTCTCGATTCCGTGGCGTTTGAGCGTGCTCAAGAGTATCTCCTCCGTCATCTTCAGGCCATTGTATAGGTTCATCAGGTCCTTGTTCTCCTCAGTCCTGCTCTCGGCCGGGACGGCGGAAAGTGCGCGGTCGAGGTTGTCGACCGACTCGACGAGGTCCTTAGCAAACTTTTGTATGGCAAAGTCCCTGGCTATCTTCTTCTCGCGCTCCGTGCGGTCCTGCAGATTGCGGAAGTCGGCTACCGCGCGCTGAAACCTGTCCTGGTGAGGGGAAGGGGGGGGGGTTTGTTAGATCGGGTGCTTTGGAAGAGGGGAAAGGGAAGGGGGGTACCCTGTAGTCTTTGGCTTCTTTAGCTCTCTCCTCAAGGTCTTTCTTTAGGGTCTCGATTTCTTTGGTTAGTTCGGTGTCTTTTGGTGATGGCCGTTGGTGGGCCTCTGCCTGGAGTTCTGATGCTGCTGGGGTCGGCCCATTTCTGTTCTCCTCTGGTGGTGTATTTGTCGTCTGCTCGGTGGAGTATCCCCTCCGTATGGGGGCACATGGGGGGGTTGCTGTTTGCCATTGCCGGACCGAGGGAAGGACGCCTACACGGCTGGCGGAACTGAATTGTCGGGTTCCCTGAATAATTGCCCGTCGAAACATTTTCCTTCTTCCTTGGGGTGTAGGTCTGGATGAATTTGGTAGTCTTTCCCCAGTGATTGTTGGCTCTATCGACGACGAATGGAGGGATGGTGGGGTGTGGGATTGACTGAGTGATGGCGGGATGATGCTGCAAGGGTAAAAAACGATTTTCGGGGAAGTTGTGTGTGTTTGGTTGTCTTGGCACCCATTGACTTAGGGTTGGTAAGGTTCGCCCCTCCACCCCCGTCCACCAAGCTTATCCGGACTATCGAACGATAAGACATAACCTCTCACTCACTCACTACTCTATCCGCACGAAGAGGTCACCCTAAACCATGGCTGCACAGAAGAGTGCGAGCAGTGTGAACGGCGTCTTAGCCGTGAGTCACATTCAAAATTTCCCGAGTCGGACCGCACCCGTTGTTAATGATTGCATTGCATTACAGACCCTGGAGGATGTCATTCGCGCCGACACGGAGGCTACGGTTGGCGACCTGGACTTGCTCAGTAGGATCAACCTTCATGCCACCGAACGGTACAAAGCGATTTCGGATGCGGCTGTGGGGTTGGAAACGGATAGTGAATATCTGGGGCAAAAATGTACGCTCTCTCTCTCTCCCTCTCTCTCATGCACTCACTACATGTCTGGCTGTTAACTTGCCGCAGATGCCGAGATAGAGAAGTACAAACAGCAGGTGGATAACCTGGATGAGCGTGTCGGCGACCTGGAAGCCATAGTTAAGGAGTTGGAGGAGTGGACCGGGGAGTTGGGTATGCTTAGATTAATTCCCTCCTGCTTCCATCCTCTATGCTTATGTGATCACATTTTAATATCCCGTGCAGAGATCAAGGTGCGAAGGCTTTCGCGACGTAATTAGCTCTGCGCAGGCTTTTCCGAATCTTTTTCTTTCCTTCCTCTTTCCTCAGGAGAAGTGAAGCAGCGCACCTGCGGTAACATCGGTTCAAGCTGCTAATCGGGGTTCGGAGGCATGGCAATAACTGGGACGCTGTAGAAAACATTTCGACAAAGCATCGTGGCCTGTCGTGGGGTTGGGTGCCTCTCACCGGTGACAGTAAGGCAAACTTCTCCACAAATCACACGGCCAGATCTTGCATAAGGCTATAGAAAATACTGTATCATGGCGAGAATGCGGTAATGCGCACGGTCGGGGCACGGATCAAAGATGCTCGTTCCGGTGAGGTGATGTTTTCAGTATCCCGCCTCGGCATGGTAATCTCTCTCTACGAGTTGAAGTTGCAGTATGATATATGTACGGTACTCGAGCAATTAATTTAACCTACGGTATATCACGTTTCCATAGAAAGTCAAGCCCCCTTCAGGGACCACTCAGGAATTCAATCACAGCCAAACCCGACTATCACGTGACGCCGGGTCCGGCATCCCGCCCTAAATTTCTGCCCCTCTCCATCCTTCAACCCGCCATCGTCCATACATTAGATTCCAACCAACAGCGACTGCAATTCCCACAACCTCCACCACTTCATCACACACAACCCTCGTGGCAGCTGCATCTCACACCCCTCACACGCACAAAACAGAAACCACGTTTAGAAAAAAAAAGAGCCAGCCTCACGTTTCACTACCACTGAATAACAATTTGCCTTTTCTTTTTTCTTCTTCCTCGCCCGCCCCGATATCAAACTAGGTTCCAGCAATCATGTCACTCCCTACTTGCCGGTTTTACGAGGAGAAATATCCGGAGCTTGATAGCTATGTTATGGTCAATGTTAAGCAGGTATCATCTTCTGCCTTCTCCTGGAGGGAAGAGAGTCGGAGCGGAGTTGAGTGGCCACTGATGGCAGGAATTCTCAGATCGCAGAAATGGGAGCATACGTGAAGCTTCTGGAATACGACAACATTGACGGCATGATCTTGCTCAGCGAACTTTCCAGACGGCGTATCAGATCTATCCAAAAGCTCATCAGGGTTGGAAGGAATGAGGTTGTGGTCGTCTTGAGGGTTGATGAAGAAAAAGGTATGGCTGGCTCATGAGTCATAGGCGTTTGTGTTACACCACCTCCTTCCTCTTCCTCTTCCTTTCTCTATATCCGTCTCTATGGAGAGGAAAAATATTATAATTAGATAGCTGATAATACGATATGACTAGGATACATCGACCTTTCCAAGCGTCGTGTATCTGCCGAAGACGTTGTCAAGTGCGAAGAGAGATTCAACAAGAGCAAGATGGTGCACTCCATCTTGCGGCATGTCGCCGAGAAAACAAAGGAGCCTATCGAGAGCCTCTACGAAAAGATTGGCTGGCCCTTGATGAAGAAGTACGGCCACGCTGTCGACGCATTCAAATTCTCTATTACGTCCGCCCCCCCCACATCCCTGCAACACAAATTCATTCTAACAAGGATAACAGCAACCCGGACGTATGGGAAGGCATCCAATTCCCATCAGAAGTCGTCAAGACCGAACTTCAAACCTACATCTCCAAGCGCCTAACCCCTCAGCCAACCAAAGTCCGTGCAGACGTCGAAGTGACCTGCTTTGGATACGAGGGTATTGATGCAGTCAAAGACGCCCTCAGGAAAGCCGAAGCAAAGAACACCGTCGACACTCCCGTCAAGGTTAAACTTGTTTCGCCGCCTCTCTATGTCCTCACATCTCAGTGCCTAGACAAAAATACCGGCATCGAAGTCCTCGAGGAGGCTATCACTGAAATCCAAACATCAATTTCCGCTGCTGGAGGGAACTGCGTTGTCAAGATGGCGCCCAAGGCGGTCACCGAGAACGATGACGCAGAACTGCAAGCCCTAATGGACAAGAAGGAGCGCGAGAACCAGGAAGTCTCTGGCGATGAAGACGAGAGCATTAGTGATGAAGAAGCTTAATTTCTCGTCCCTTTCATTTTCGGGCCTTTTCCGATTTCTAGCTCTTTTTCCTCTTAATGGTCGTTTAAAAAGAAAAAGCCGGTTAATGCATGGGGATTTCCGCTAAGAAAAGAACTGGGGGAGGTAGGCTGGAATGGAGCAGAGGAGGTTCCGGATTCGTTGTATGTATGTTGGTGTACGTACTTGGTATGATGCTACGCATGGATGACAAAAAGTTGTTCTTTTCTTTCTTTCTTTCTTTCTTTCTTCCACCTCTTCTGCCTTTTTCACGCCTTGCTTCGTTTTACGGCTTTGCTGTTTTCCCATGATATTTGGCGACGGCACAAAAGCGAGTACGAGTCCAGTGCAGCGTGGGTAAGGAGGGGCAAAAACGGTGAGGGGCGTTCATAGAAAGCATTAGTTACAGAACTGTACTCGTACCCTCTTTTCTTCTCTTCTCTTTCTCATTCCCAAGTCCAATTTGATTGATTCATATATACACCGCATGGCCAATGATACTGCACCGCAAACATAGTCCGAGGATCCATAGACTAAGCCCAGTGTTCCCCCCAATCGGTATCTATAACTATCGGCCAACTCAATGGAATAAAGCATCAAAAATCGGCTTCCAGGAAGTGCCAGAAAATCAAAAACGTACCGGTAGATGGATGATCCCGGAAACCGTTCCCCCCCCCCCCCCTTTAGAGATGGAGGGGGCGGGATTTCTAGAGTATCACGGTCTAATCGTTAGTCCGTAAACTGTCTCCCGGAATAAGCCCGATTCTTGCACGCGGATTCGGTTGATGCCGTATTCCCCCCCCAAGTTAATTCTTCAACGGCAGCTCTGGGAAACGTATGATAGGGCTCACGCACCAGGATCGGCGCCCCTGCGCAACCTTTGGTTTTGTCGCTGATCCTCGGACTTTGGTATGACGGGTAGAGTAAGTTACCGGCATATGATACCTGCATTCCGGTATGCTCTACCTACTCTAACCCTGATAGTTTTAAGGGTTCAATAATATTACCGGCACTGCAGCGCATGAGCTATCTAATCATCTAATCTAGCCTTCTATATTATTATGTATGATATGCTCTCTTAGATACCGGTACGTCTAAATTATCCACTACCACCCCCCTCCCCTCCTGTAAAAAAAAAATGAATTGAAGGGAAATTTATCATAAGAGAGGAAAGGGAAAAAATATATAAAAAAAACGAGTATTATCTACTATCATTTATGGTAAGCCATTCCCTTTCGTACTTCCTCCCGTTCGACACGCCTACCAGCCCATCGATAGACCCGTGTGCGCATAACCATTCAGCCATATCCGCCACGTAAACCGTACTCATGCGCCCTCCCATAATACCAAACTCCACAAAATATACAATAGCAGCCAGTAAACCAAGCAAGTAAAGCAATTAGTAGTGTAAGAAAAGAGAGAGCGAAAGAAGAAAAATATATATATAAATATATAAAGATAAAAATGAACCAACAAAAGAAATGCCCCCAACCCAGACTCAGACCGGATATCCCAAAACCGCTGCCGCAACAGCTTGCCCCCCAGCGCCTCCACCCCCATTGCCAATACCCTCACCAGCCGTGGCTGCATTCGGGTAGACCCTTACGGGAATGCCTACATCGAAGCTCTCGACGAAAACATTCTGCTTGGCTTCGAATAGTTCCCCACGGTCGTCAGCGTGCGTTCGCTCCAGCAGCTCTTCCATCATGACGACCGTTCCATCTGCCCCGTCGCCGCCCTCAGCGATAGAGGCAGTCAGCGATTGAGTCGGCGTGACGAATTCCAGCCGGAGAGCCCATATGTAGGATACGCCCGAGGTGGAGAATTCGGGGGTGGCGGAGGTGGGTATTGTGGGGGTGAATACCACGCGCTTTGAGAAGAGGGTGGACTGAGAGTGCTGGAAGTGGAGTTTTCGTGTAGCGCGGTGGATGCTGGATGTGCTGCGGAGGGCGATAGAGGGGGTTACGGTTTCGGAGGTTTCGAGGACTGCGGTTATCTGTTGAGGTCAGCACCGCGCAATCATGGGAGCAGCGAGGGGGGAAGGAAGAATACATGGTAGCAAGGAATCTTCGCATCGGAAAAGTCTACGACAGCAGTTATTGTCTCGCCAAGTTTGTATGCCGGACGTGAGAGTGTTAGCGTTGCTACTTTTCGCCCGCTGCGCGCGATTTCGAAGTTGCTGCAGCGGCCGTCGGACGATCCACCCGGGCCTCGGAGGATGGCCATTTCTATAGCGTCTTTGGAGCTAGTGATTTGTGGTTCTTCCATGATTGAGAAACGTTTTGATGATGTTGGGATTGAAGGTGAGAGGATGCCCAGAGAATCCGGTGTTGATACTGCGTCTGTGGGTGCTAGCAGACTGTCCACGTAGGAGAGAAAGTCTTCTAAGGAGGACTCCTGCTCGACGGCTTTCCTCGGCGGTGACGGGATTGCGGGAGGGGTTAATGTCTGATCGTCTATGCACGCTGTCGTAGCTTCATCCCTGAGGAGAACAATTGGGGACATTAAGTCATGCACCAACATGGATCCGTTGGCTGTATCACGTTAGTCCGCACCAAAGGTCTAATACAAGCGACTAACCACGAACATGGGGAAAGACCCTAAAAGGGATCTCGACAACCTTGGGCTGTTGAACCCCTTTCCCAGGCCTTTGTGTCCCGATAACCAAGTTATAAACAACCTTGATAGCCTTTCCCCGATGCGTAGGCGGAAGCGCTTCAGGCAACAGGAAGCTATACGTGTAAGACTTGCTTTCCCCCGGGTTCAGTCGTAGATCGACAAAGAGGATCGATTGCGGGGTTGAGAGTATAGGTATTGATCTCGAGCCTGGGGGACTGTAAGCAATAATGACTCCTTTGTATGGTGGAGTGCATATTCACTAGCTATGTTCTTCATCTCTGCAATAGAACTCATATTATTCCCTCCCAAAATCCCTGTAATGCCCCCGCCAATCCCTCCCCACCCAAACCCACTGAGAAATCCCCCATCAGCCTTATTGGTCTCCAATCCCACGACTCCCCCTCCCATTTGTCCGCCAACTACCCCTTTCCGCTTTACCTCGTCGAATATACTGGTCTGTATCAGCGACCCGTCGAGAACGAAGCTCCCCTGCACCTGCGCATATCCCATCATCAAAGACTCTGAAGAGCGTGGGCCAATGGCCAGGAGGCTATGACGCCTGTTATGGGTAGAACGCACTGGGCGCACTGCTGCTCGGGGGTCATATTCCGACACCAACGTTTCCGTTGTGCTGTTTGATAGAGAGTAGAATTCCCCGCTTGACCGTGGTGTTTCCCCGTTAACACTATGAGCAGCTATCACCCGGCTCTGCAATTTTTCATATTCCGGTTCATCCACAGGACTTCTGAGATCGATCTGTGATACCTTCCGGACAAGTTGTGGGCTATCGGATGAGGGCTCATCGACATGTAGACTATCCGTAATAATCGTAGGAGTGTTCAGTGGGTCGGGGGGAAACTTGAATGTTTTGCTGGCTGGTTTGGGCAGCGGCTTTGCGCTACCTGTTGCTCGCGGGCTAGCTGATGTCAGCCCCGGAAAGGAGAAGTTGTTGGTACTCTCTGATTCGATTATCATTGGTGTAGACGGTTGAGTACCGGCACGAGACGGAGGAGGCATAGTAGCTACCGCAGATATTAGCACCCCAAAATAGGAACCCAACAATAGGTCATACCTGAGTTTGGGGTAGACCCATTAACCAGGACAGGGGAACGCCTAGACATTGTTTGCAGCGAGGAGGATCGTGAGTGGCCTCCCCGCCCCTGTCTCCCCTGTATTAGCGGGGGAGACCTGACCGCCTCCTCCCCCTGCCCACGTCCACCACCTTCAACCCCAACATCGGATCCAAGGGAAACAATTGATATCGATCTCCTATGTTTGTGTCCCCCCCCATTACCCGCTGCGGAAGCCGGGGGAGCAGGAGAAACAGGGGATTTTGTCGCAGGGGTACTCAGCGATAACGAAGGTTTGTGATGAGAGACAGGTCTGGCGGAGGGAATCCTCGGGCTCGCGGTGGTAGATCTATTCCCAGCAGCAGTAGGTGATTGTACTGGGACCGCCTTACCCCCCAACGCACTCCCACCCGCACCCGAGGCAAATCCCCCACTCGCCCTAGGTGAGCCATGCATCGGAACGTGCGATCTCTGGGAGCCAGGCGAGGGGGAAATATTCCTAAAGGTGATCTTGCATTCAAGCCTCTCGCCGGCAAAAACGGCGGCCGATTCCGGGAACGTGACAAACACCCTGATGTCGGACGTTGGCTTCATTCCGGCGACCAAGCCGAACAAATGGGGCTGCTTTCTGGCGAGCCTCTGCGGCCCAGGTTCGTTCCGGGGGGTTTTTCGTTTCTCTCGGACGACAATGATATGTGAGTGGCGATATTGGAAGCGTTTCCCTAATTCGAGGTTTACCGGCCAGCAGATACTTCAGCGCTTTTTGCCGGCCGGGGCATAGCTGTAAGGAAAAGGGACAGCGGGGTTCTTTGGCGAGCGAGCAGATGTAACGGCAAGCTCCAAACTCGTTGCAAGTCAGGCGTCAGTCAGTTGGTGGTGGTGATGCAGGGTTATCCGCCCGTCAGGGATACGGGGTGAGAGAAGAAGGGAGGTCTGGAAAAAGTTCAAGATATCACCCTCGCAGAGAAAAATGCCCAAAAGCCCAAGCCCAAGCAAGCCCAAAGTAGAGGTCTATGTCCCCGAAAGGTCAAAAAAGAAAGTCGAAATAATGCAAGCTTGGCGCCAAAGGTGGAAGTGCGAGGAAAGTGAAATCCGCTAAACCTAAAACAGTCTCTCCTCTTCCATTCTTCGATGAGCCAAGCCCATCTCGCCAAGCTGGACCTGCACGCACTTAGCCAAGTCCAACCCCCGGTCGGGCTTAGCACATGGGGGGGGGGGGGGGGGAGAAAGCACCCTAACCTTTTTAGGGGATTAAAAAATAAAAAAATAAAAAATAAAAAAGATAGAAACGACAACTTGGGTGAAAGGAAGGCGGGAAAAATTCCGAAGGTTGACTTTTTTTTAATTAATCACAATTATCGCACCCCATCGATCGATCGCGTGCCAGGTACCCCCGAGAACTTTTGAGGGCGCAAAGTACGGTACTCGTACAGCATTATTATACGGGTATCATACAATGAGTGCAAAGTGAGAAGTGCAGGACAGGGGTGGGGGCGGGGGGCTTTATCCTCCCCCTGAAGCGAGGAGAGCCCAACAAGTACAATTTACCGGTACCTGGCCCTCTATCACCTACTAGTAGTATCACTTGTATCATAAATGCCGGCACCAAGTCCTCCTCCTCCCCCCCCGTCCGATACCGCGTGCCGTAGTGCCATAGCGCCCGCCCCATCATGGCATTCCCCATCCATCCCCACGTTTTGAGAAGGAGAAAAAAAAGAAAAAAGAAAAAAGCTCCTTCACCCGCCACAACCGCCATGGTTGAGTTGAGTTATATTGAGGAAATACAGTATACTCCCTCGCCCTTCTCCCCAAAACAAAGTGCATCTCCTCGGACATAATAGCTAGCCACCGTGCTCGATGCGAGATGTGAACATCGTGAACGGGGAAGAACCGAGTTTCCCACACGCCAGTAAACCAAATTAGCAGCATTATCGCTCGAGTGAGGACTCGTGACCAGCACTACCATCCGCTCTAATAACTTACAATCTTAACTTATCTTATCATTACCACCTAACTCACCGATGTATCATACCCCTCTAGGAAAAAGGGTGTAACTGTGCCTAGCCCCCCCCAGCAAGCAAAAGCATCACTTTGTCTTCACGATGAGAATTTCCCTCGTGACTGCCATCACTGTGATCACTGTTACTATTGTACTCGAGCATCCGTCGTCACATGCCCGCTCGCTCGCTCTCCACGCGACGATGCAACATTGTACGAAGTACAACAGTTGGTGCGTGCACGGCGATCGCGATACGTACTGTACCGGCACGGTACTGTACAGATTGTTGGAATGTTACGCGCAGCGAGCGAGCGAGCGAGCCGGCGCTGTATGACTTCGGACGGTGAACTGACGTGACATGACTTGGCTTGCCGTACCGTAACGTAGCCACCAGCGGTTCTCCGAGATAGTAGACTACCGTATTAGTCTATACGGAGGGCATGCTGTCGACTTTAGAGAACTTCTCGGAGGGGCATCGCCTCCCGTGCCGTGCCAGGAGGGAGGGTGGGTGGACGAATAGGATGGCGGGTAGCTCGACCGCAGACAGGTCATACGGGATAACTTACGTACCGTAGTCTGTATCCACTGTTCTGTCCATTGAATGGGAAACCTGATTGCCATCCTCACATCATCACAATCATCGCCACCCGGCACAGTAAGGCGGAAGGAATACTCCGTTTAGTATTTCAAGCTACGGGTTATCATATCCACCGGGAAGTTGGGTTGTCGCGCGATACCGGTATGATGGCGCGCCAACCCATGATATGATACCCACGGGGGACATCCAAAGAAGCAAAACTACCGGTAACCTGACTCATCTTTCCCTCCATCCATCCATCCATCCATCCATCAATCAATCAATCCATTTGTAAACTAGAAACTTCACGGGATTATCACACCTGCAATCTCGAACATCTCCATCCAGAACTCTCTCAACCGGTGATCCCCAAAAGCACCAAAAGATCTCGAGAACGGCTTGGCAACACAACCAGCGATCCCTTACTTGTAGCCCGCGCCGCAGATCCCGCATATTTTTTATTTTTTTAGCGCGGTTGCCTTGTGTCATCGTGGCCAAAAAAGATCCTTAAGTTACCAAAGGAAGTGTGATACAGGTCATGGCCGGGGGAGGGGAAGAAGGGAGGGGAGCTCTGGCTGCTGTGACGTGACCACTGATTAGGAAAACATCTGCTGCGCCGTTTCCCACACTCGAACCACCGTATCACTCGAGAACTCGTATCTCTAAAATAGCGAACGGGGTCGGGCTGAAGACGCATAGGAGGGAAAGTACGGTATGAGGTGTGAGTGGTGCTTTGCCCCTCGAGAGGGATCCATCTATCCTGCCTCATGTAGCCTGGTCGCATCAATCAAGTCGTTGAGATCTTCTGCCAGTGCTCGTGCTTCATACCGGTATCATTCTCCTTATGCACCTTCAGCATGGCCCCGTTCGTTCTTTTCGAAATAACACGGTACGGTATCCCCCAACCGCGGAATATTCTGGGCAGCCATGATGGAGAGCGTGAAGAGGGTACACGATTTATTTGCTGCGCCATCCGCCCATCTCGAACAGGGAGCGGGTATCAACAAAAAAAAAAAAAAAAAAAAAAAAAGAGTCGAACCCCCAACGGTGTCCTGCGTGTATGATATTATGATATCGTTTTCTGCTATCGATAAGCCCCAGACCGAGTCCGGGCTTCCGGATGCTCTTGAAAATTAGATGTATGATTTAGGGCTATCTGCCTCGTTGTCGTTTAGGATAGCGGACACCGCAAACCTTTGATTACCTACCGTACCCTATTGGCTTTCTGGTGTCTTCCCCCCCCTCAGGACCTAACTTCCTCCCTGCTCTCACGATATTTTGGTTTAGTCTACAGCCCAACCTTGTGCTCCAATTAATTTATGCGCCATCAACACACCAAGAAAACAGGGCTTCGTGGCGCATAAATTAATTCGATTGCAAGCAAATGACGTTTCCCATACGGTATCCTACTACTGTACTGTACAAAGTCCAGCCGCACCGTTTGTTGGAGCGTCATTCGCGAGAAACGTTCAGAATTCATTCCTCGAAAATGTTTCCCCCCCTTTTTTCTAGAATTATCACCTAAACTGACCACCACCTCGAGCGACGGCGAGCCTGCTTAAAGTTTAAATGGTAGCTCCCACAGCTACGGCCGTCACACATGCCCTCTCGCTCTCCCTCCAAAACCAACCAAGTGATCATTAGGAAAGGGAAAAAACCGTGATGGTGACACCCCCAACCCTACACCACTGCACCTTGCACATCTTCCCATTCTCCCACCGTTGCACAAACAACAAAACACAGTACGCCATGCAGGGAAGGAAGGAGGGAGTGGGGAAGAGTGGAAGGGGAGGGCGGCACCCGTTTCGCGCAACAGAATCGCTGTTTCTAATTACGGAAGTCGAGTCAAATCAATGCGAGTGAGGGAGGAGGAGGAGAAGGAAGGAAGGGGTGGGGGTGTGCACGCCGATGTGCTGGCTGTATTGTACTTGTACGGTAAGTGAACTTGACCTGTCTTAGGATCCTGGGAAGGGGGAAAGAAGAAAAAAAAGAGAGAAAGGGAGAAGAAAGAAAGAGGTGGGGTGCTATGCTCAGATGTGCGTATTAATGAAGCCACATCGTCCTTTGTAACTTCCTGATGTTGTGTTTGCAGGGTAGGGAGGAGGGTGGGGGGGGGGGGGGAGGAAGTACCGTACCGGTACTGTAAGCTCGGTTCCGGGCGTTTCCTTCTGCCTGAGGTGGAGGCTCTGTGGTACGGTGTGGTCCTTACGAGCATGGTATGGGGGGAAAGGGAGGGATGTGGTGGGTTTTTTGTTTGTGTGTGTGTGTGCATTGGAAGAGGAGTTTGAGCAATAACCCTGCCAGTAATGTGCACGATATTATTATGACTGGGGAATCGGGATGTTCCCTTCTTCCCATTTCCTTGGGTGAGGACGATGATCACGGCATTCCCGTTCTCACCAAGCTTCGCTCGCCTCACGCCCCTCCTCTTCCCTCTCCCTCTTCCTCTCCCTCTCCCTTTCTCTCCCCCCGGCCGGTGTTACCACCACACTCGGAGCCGAACTGATCTCATGCTCTGTTTCAGGGTACATAGTCCCGGTATCATACAGTTGCACCTGGCTATAATGAACGCCAAGAATCAGCATTTTGGATTACGTTCACTAATTTTTACTATGGGAGGTTCACTATAGCAAGTTATTTTCCGGTGTAAATTGACTTTTATGCTCACAGGAAATAGTCTGAGACACTAATTCTTGGCGTTCATTATAGCCAGGTGCAACTGTACTCGTAAACGGCGTTTCAACAGTTATCATACCGTACCGTGGCGGCCTACCGGTACCGGCACTGTACGTACTGTAACAAACTCTATAATATCATAGACTCCCGAATCACCGATATATATATCCTCTCGCCCATTTCACAGAACCGCCCCCACCCAAAAACCCCAAATCTCCTCAAACTTATTAATTATATAATATCATACATACAAATATCGTACCGCACACCCACCTTCCTTTTCCACCCCCCCCCCTCCTCCACTTCCTGCAGCATACCGTAGGAGAATCTAAGCGGGGTCCA